GACTACTAACCAGAAGGCTGGCAGATCAAACCCACCAACCACTCCTCAGAAGGAAGGTTGGGCAATCTACTTCCATAGTGATACCACTTCGGAAATCCAAGGAGGGGTTGCTGTGAGTCGGATCCGACTCCACGGCAGTGGTTTTTTGTTTTTTGTTTTTTTGTTTTTCACTTCTTACTACTTATGTGACTTTGGGCAAGTGAACTAGCCTTGCTGGACCTTTGTTTGCTCGTCGATAAAATAGGGACAAATATGCCTACTTCTCTGGGTTATTTTGAGGAGTTATGAGTAACGTGCTTGGTATTGTAGCTGGAACTTAGTAGGGGTTCAACTAATAAGTTTCTTCTCTCTATCATTCTAGGGTTATGACCATTTATTTGATCATTTGTGTAAGGGGATGAATCCCCTTCAAGTGCCCTCTGAGAGACTCCCAAAGAGGAGTTGAAAACACAGAAGAAAAGTGTTAGAATCTGTTTGGACCACACCTGCTCTCATCTCACCTGGAGATGCCACCCACTCCTTGCATTCCCCTACCCATGCAGTTTTTTTGTGTGTATGTGTGTGCGTGTGTGATTTAAGTGAGAATAGTAATCTCTTTCAGGCTCACAAAGACTTAAGTTCTTTCTCCTGACTTGGCTCTCCCTGTCATACAGGGAAGGTATACAAGACAGGGCAACATGTATGCATAGGAGAGTTATAGTTAGCTATCATGATCTGTGTGTATTGAGAACTGATTACAGCCACCCTGCTCCTGTGTACTTACAGAGGTAGATTAATGGGCATGAGCTCTAGGGCAAATTTCTCTGTTTCAGGGACTAAGACTTTGTCATTTTACTTGGAGGGTTGGGTCACTGAGTCCTCTCATTATCTGCTCTAGTGCTCTTCTTTGTTTGGTGTGGTGTTGTAAATTACGTGGTATGGCTTTTCTAGCCATAAGTCTTTGTAAGCTCCGTGGTGGAATTTTCTGTGAGAAACTGAGTATCTGATTGTTAAAATCATCCACCTGGGGTATTTCTGTTGGGAGCAGCACAAAGTAATGTTCTGGGAAGTTCATTCTCTCTCACATGCTTATAATTCTGATGTTATGATTGGCTAGTTTGGCCACTCTGCCAGACTCAAAAGGAGGCTTCCTAGAGGCAGAAGTTGCTCTGACTGCTGGCTGAGAGGAAGGACGCTCTCCTGAGAGACAGGCGCTGCTGGGAAAAAGACACAAGTGACACGCATTGCTGAGAGAGACACCGACGGGCACGCACTGCTGGGAGAGAGACTGTGAGAGACTGTTGGCTGAGAGACGGTGGGCTGGGAGAGAGACTATGCATTTTTCCTGAACTCGAATTGTAGCCTGGTGCTTCTCTAATAAGCCCCATAATCTGTGAGTTCTGTGTGGCCACTGCAGTGAATTATCGAACCCAGAAGAAAGGTGTTGAGTGCTGTGGGAGGAACAGTTGGTGTCAGGGTTGGTGAAAGAGCTGGAGGGAGGCAGCGTGTCTGGCCTCACAGGAATAGGCCTTGGGCTATTGATGATGATTCTGTCTTCCTCTTGTGGGGTTAGAGGAGGTCAGAAGATGTGGCCTCCTTGCCCCTTTGCCATTTGGTTAACTTGTGAAGGCCAAGTTTACCTTCAAAGCTGCTTGATGTCTTTGTCAGCACTCTCTTTGTTTTTATAGGAACTTCCTCCTCTCCTTACCTCCATCCTCAGCAACTCCAGCCCTCCAGGAACCTTCTCCACCCTTCTCCCAATCTCCACCATACTCTCTTCTCAACCTTTCCTCTACTTTCACACTAGTTCCTTCATATCTCTCCTATTGTCCCTCCTCCAGCCCTTCCCTAGTCCTTGTCACTACTTTTGGGGTATTTAGGGCTCCACCCAAACTTTGAGCATTTTCCATTTCCTTGCTTCTTCCCTCTCAACTATCCTCCTCTAACCCTTCCCCTCAGATAAACAAATAATTTAAACACAAGTAAAAATTGTCAATGTTTATTTATTTTTTAAAATTATCATTGCAAGTTTATTTTTTGTTGGAAAGATGTCATAATTGTGATAAAGAAAATGTTGATAAGAAAAAATCAAATTAGTACAACTACATTTTTTCAGGCTTAGTTTCTAATATCCATTCCTATTATACATATTATTAGCATATATTGTTGTTGTTGTTATGTGCCGTCGAGTC